ACGGCCCCGGCGTGAAGGATCCCGTTTCCAGGGCTGGAGCCGATGCTGGATTCGCTCTTGGGCCGGAGGCCAAGGGAGGTGGAAATTGGGTCCCGTCCAGGTCGGTGGCGTCGTGGGGTTTTATAAATAGAGAGAGGAGGATGGGAGAAGGGTCCCGGCTCCTGGCGCACGATCTCGTCTGCCTGCATGGGGAGCGGCGGGACTGAGATGTTCTCCCGAGTGCTCCCCTCTCCACTGGGAAGGTCGTGGTGGATTTTTACTTTTCCTTCGCTGGAAAATTGCCCATGCAAAGAGGCTGCAAATGGGGCAATTAGCAGTGGTGAGCAATTAACTGTGTTTTAACAGATTAACAGTCACACTGTCTTGGCTGCTGTTGTGGCTGTCTGAAGTCATAGAATCCCGGACTGGTTTGGGTAGGAGGGACCTGGATCCAGTCCCACCCCCCGGCCATGGGGCCACCTTCCCCCAGCCCAGGTTGCCCAAAGCCCCGTCCAACCTGGCCTTGAACCCTTCCAGGGAGGGGGCAGCCACAGCTTCTCTGGGCAGCCTGTGCCGGGGTCTCACCCCCCTCACAGGGAACAATTTCTGCCTTAGATCTGATCTAAATCTCCCTCTGTCAGTTTAACCCCGTTCCCCCTCGTCCTATCCCTCCCCCTGATGATGAGTTCCCCGTCTTTCCCTCCCCCCTTTCAGTCCTGGGGGGCTGCTCTAAGCTCTCCCCGCAGCCTTCTCTCCTCCAGCTGAGCCCCCCAACTCTCCCAGCCTGTCCTCACAGGGGGGCTCCAGTCCCCCGAGCATCTCCGTGGCCTCCTCTGGCCCCTCTGGAGCAGGTCCGTGTCCTTCTGCTGTTGGTGCCCCAGAGCCGGACCCAGCCCTGCAGGGGGGTCTCCCAGAGCGGAGCAGAGGGGGAGAATCCCCCCCTGGCCCTGTGCCCACCCTGCTCGGGGTGCAGCCCAGCACACGAGGCCTTTCTGGGCTGTAAACTCACACTACCAGGTCACCTTGAGCTTCTCATCAACTGACACCCCCAAGTCCTGCTCCTTGGGGCTGATCTTAATCCCATCATCCCCCCAGTCTGTGCTGGTACTGGGGAGTGCCCCGACCCAGGCTCAGGACCTTGCACTTGGCCTTGTTGAACCTCATAAGGTTCACATGGTCCCACTTTTTGAAATGTCAAAGTACGAGACTACCCGTGATGAGAATTACATCCCCAAACCAGACGTGCCACACGCGGCTTTATTAGAGAGAAGTCCACAAAGAGCAAAATGTGGGATCCGTGGCTCAGACTCAGTCCAGGGAGTTGAGCTCCACTGAGGTGCACCAATGCATTTTTACGGTGACTTGTATTGCAGTGCACCATGATAATTAAAAGCCAATTAATTAACGACGTCGCATCCCACGAGTGTCCCGCACCACTTGGCTCGGTGTCATCTTCAAAGCTGCCGAGGGCACGTTCAGTCCCAGTGGTCCCCGTCCGCACCCTTGGGGAACAACCACTCATTTCTGATTTCCGCCTGGGTTTTGAGCCGTTGGCTGTGGCTCTCTGGACGCGACCGTCCAGCCAATTCCTGACCCATCTGCCAGTCTGGCCATCCAACCAGATCTCTCCCGTTCGGCGTTATGAATGGTGCTGGAGACCGCACCAAAGGCCCTGCGGAAGCCCGGGTCGATGACGTCTGTAGCTCTGTCCTTGTCCCCTGAGGCAGTTGCTCCATCGTAGGAGGCCACCGGTATAATCAGGCACGGTTTCCCGGTGGTGAAGGCGCACGCTGGCCGTCCCTCATCACCTCCCTGCCTTCCGTATGCTTCCACATCTCTTCCCGGAGGATCTGCTCCGTGATCTCCTCGAGAGATTCGAGGCCTTTCCCAGCTCTGGGTGGGGAGCACTTGGGAGCCCTGGTCCGTGGGGGAACCGGCGCAGGAAGGGTTAACCAGAAACCCACCGCCACGGACATGCTGAAACTCAACAGGGGAAGAACACTTTGGTGGGGGTTTAAAACCCTCCTGGGTGATGGTGGCACGCAGACGCCAGCTCCGCTCTTGCCCACCTCCAGTGAAACCCCCAAGCCCTTCAGCCTCCGTTTTCTCTGTCGGCAAATTAAAATCCATCAGGGCTTTGTCTGTGGCTCCTGGTTCCTCAGCGAAGACTTTTAGGCGCTTTTCGTTGATCAAAAGGGGACAAAGTCCTCAGTAATGCTCACCCCGGTTGTCTCACCTGGGCTGGGTCTGGGTGGCCCGATGCCCATTCCTGTCCCCCCGTGCCCCTCGGGTGGGTTTGCACCAGCCGCAGCTCCTTGGCCCCTTCCCCTCCTGACCCCTGTTGCTCTTTGCCCGCAGGTTTTTGGGAGAAGCCCGAGTGCCCCTGCGTGATGTCCTCTCCTCCCCCAGCCTGGCGGCCTCCTACAACCTCCCCTTGCTGGACACCAAGAAGCAGACGACTGGGGTGAGTCCCAGTGTGGGGACCTGGGAGGCCAGTTTGAGCACTGTCCCTGCCAGCTGCAGCTCCCAGTTGGAGACCAGTTTGAGCACTGTCCCTGCCAGCTGCAGCTCCCAGTTGGAGACCAGTTGTCCCATCCTGGACTCTGAGCTTTACCTTTCAGCGGCCTGGGGAGGGGGGCAGCAGGAAGCTGCTCAGTCTGTGCTGGGGGACTCGCCTTCCCCATCCCATGTCCCCCTCTCCTCCTTGCCTTGGAGGGTGGGGAGAGCTTTGCTGGGGACACCCCGATGCTTTGCTGGGGACACCCCGATGTTTTGCTGGGGACACCCCGATGCTTTGCTGGGGACACCCCGATGCTTTGCTGGGGACACCCCAGCAGCAGATGGGTCAAACCTCTTCTCAGGGCAGACATTGGCAGTGGTCAGAGCTGCTGCCCCCTGGGACAGGGGTGTCTGTGCCGGGGGGCTCTGGGGGCGCACCGCACCTTGTAGCCCGTTAAATCTTGCTCCTTGCTTCCCACAGCTCCCCTCTCCTTGAGCCTTTCCCTGGCTCTGCCTCGGCATCTCCCTCCCTCCCTCCTGCTCCCTTCCCGGCCAGTGCAGCGTCCAGCCCGGCTCAGCCCGGCCTGGGGCTGCCATCTAGTGGGACGGGGACCGGGTGGTCACCCCGCTGGGCCCCGCATGTCCCTGCTGCCCCCATGGGCCCTGGGACCCCCTTCCCTGCCGTCCCCCTGCTCTCTCCCTTTTTTCGGCCACATCCCCCATGCCTGGGCAGAACATTGTGGGTGGCACCGAGGCTCAGACCCCAGGAGAGTGTTTCTGGACACCCATATAATTATTATTTCTTTTTTTCCCAGGCTTTCCTCATCCTACAAGTGTCCTACATTCCTCCACCGGGAGCTGCCCCCCTGTTCCCCCCTCCAGCCCCCCCTGAGCCAGCACCGGCTGCTTCTGAGCCCGACACGGTCACCGGTAACCAGAAACCTTCACGTGCAGCACCAGGGGGGACATGTCCCCCGGTAGCATCATGTTTGTCCCACTGGATCCCTCACCCTACGGTCCCACAGTGCCCAGTCCCACATTGCTGCATCCTCCATCTCCTTTCTCTCCCCGCACAGAGACGGCCGGAGAGGAGGAGACGGAGGATCAGGCAGCGACGGGGGATGAGACGGAGCCCTCCTCCTCCTCGGGGCCACCGGGGTCTGAGCCCCCCTCGCTGCCCCGCAAGCCCCCTGTGCACCACGTCCAGGGGTTGAAGCGGAGGAGGAGCTCACACAAAAAGCCTCTTTCCAATAAGCCACAGGATTTCCAGGTGAGATGAGGCTGGTGGGGATCAGCTGCTCCCCTTGAACCCACCTCCCCAAGGGCCCCCAACCCGTTGCTACAGGGGGTTCATCACCTGAGAGGTGTCTGTGCCAGGGTAGGACCGACCCCACTGATGTTCTGCCCTGTCCCCCCTCCCCTTCTAGATCAGGGTGAGGGTCATCGAGGGCCGGCAGCTCCCCGGGGTCAACATCAGGCCCGTGGTGAAGGTGACGGCCGCCGGGCAGACCAAGAGGACCAGGATACGCAAAGGCAACAGCCCCTTCTTTGATGAGGTGAGGGTGGGCGTCTCTGCTCCAGGTGTGCCCAGGGGTGTCAGGGGAGTCTCGGGAGCATTATGGGTTGGGGTCCTGAGTGATGGGAACCCCAGTGCAGCCCAGAGGGTGGGACGTGGCGATGGGGACTGCAATGGGAGGGAAGCCAAGGCAGCGGCAGGGAGCCCTTTGGCAGGTCCAGCATCCTCTGCCTTCGTGCAGGGCCCACCTTGGTCACCTTCCCGAGGTGACACACGCGTCCCAGAGCCACCAGTAGCATCCCAGTGGCACGTCCTGGGCAGGGGTGGGCAACGTGGCCGGGCGTGCAGGGTGGATACGCTCGGACAGCCGCGGGTGACGTCCCCAGCCCTGACCCTGAAGTGTCCTTCAAGCCTGCCTCTTGAGATGTCCCCAAAGTCCCCTTCAACCCACCCTGTGCTTTATTTGGAGACCCCCAGGAGAGCCCCTCGGGATGTGCTTTTGCAAAATAGCCCAGCAAAAGCCAACTGGAGGATGTTGCTCGTTGGGGTGCACCAGCGTCACCCAGCACAGCCCTGTCGAGGAGCTGTTGCTATTAACGGGGCGGGGTCCCTCCTAACAGCAGGCTCTAGCCTGTGGGGTCGGGGGCATGGGAGAGGCTGGGAGGTGTGAACATGCCCTGGGGGGACTCTGGGGCACACAGCGGCCTTGCACCCTCACCCCTCTTCCCTACAGACCTTCTTCTTCAACGTCTTTGAGTCACCGGCCGAGCTGTTCGACGCACCCATCTTCATCACGGTGAGCTTCAGCAAATGTCCACCCTGCCCCAAACGTCCCCTCTTACCCTCCCCACAGTGCCCTGGGAAACGTCCCCCCTATTTCCCACCCCGGCACACGGCGGGGTCCTCCATCCTGGCAGGATTTGTGTTGGATTTACCACTTCTCCTCATTTTCATCCCGCAGGTTGTGGACTCTCGGTCTTTCCGGACGGACTCGGTGATCGGGGAGTTTCGGGTAAGGCCACCCCACCCTCTCTCCTCCGACCCCCTGTTTTCTGCCACGTTGGCCCGTGGGGTGATCACTGGCATTTCTTTTTTATTTTATTACACAGATGGACGTCGAGACCGTTTACTCGGAGCCAAGTGAGTCCAACGGGCGGTTGGGGTCTGGGCCAGGGCCAGCTCCTGTGGCTGGGGGCGGGGGTCACTCTGGGGAACCCTATTTTTAGGACCAAACATAGGAAAAATGCACACACAAACTGCAGCTCTCCCATATACGACCCCAGACGTGTCCCGATATCCATCATCGCCTCCCATTTCTCTTCCCTTTCCCAAGACACGTGTCCTTGAGGCTTCCAAGTCATTGTGCCACCAGCTCGCTGGCAGAAATCCCCACCAGTGCAGCCCAGCTCACTTTTTTTTTCCTCTTGAGTCTGGCTCATTATTTTTTTATCTATTATTTAATCTCAAAGAAAGTAAAATAATGCTTAGAAAAGAATTCCTACCCTAATCACTGCAGGGAAAAGCCTCCTAATTTTAGCTGCGAAGAGTTAAGACTTACAAGGCAAATCCCTTCATATGATGCTTTAACTTTTGGTCAGCTCTGAAGAGGTCAGGCCGTTGGACTCGATGATCATTGCAGGTCCCTTCCAGCTGAATCATAGAATCATTTAGATTGGAAAAGACCTTTAAGATCGTTGAGTCCAACCATAAACCTATTCTATTCTACTCTATATAAAAGGAATATAGTGTTTATTACGGAAAACCCCACCCAACAGCATCCCTGAGGCCATCTCTCTGTGTGTTTGAGGGCCAGAAAACGGGTCTCAGTCTCTTTTCTCCCCTAGAACACGCTTTCCTCAGAAAATGGCTGCTGCTCTCTGACCCAGAGGACTTCTCCGCGGGGGCCAAGGGCTATCTGAAAGTCAGCCTGTTTGTGCTGGGGCCTGGAGATGAAGCTCCTGTGAGTATCGCCCTGGCTGCGATGGGGGGACCTTCCAGCCATGGTGCCTCACCACCCTGGGCCATCAAACCCCGTGTTCCCAGCTGCAGCTTCGATCTTCCTCCGTTCTGGGGGCAAGGTGCTGGATTTTGGGGTCTTGCTGCTCGTTTCAGGACTTTTGAGAAGCTTGGTTGTGTTCTCCTCTTGTCCTGTTGTCCTGCAGCTGGAGAAGAAGGAGGTCTCTGAAGACAAGGAAGACATCGAGGGCAACCTCCTGCGCCCCACGGGGGTCACCTTGAGAGGGGCTCACTTCTGCCTGAAAATCTTCAAAGCTGAAGACTTACCCCAGAGTGAGTGTTGCCTTTTCTGGGCGGAAGCGTGCTGGATCCATCCAGCCCTTGGTGTTGCAGCGGGTCATGACGTGCTGGAGAGGAGTAAGGGCACAGATTAGGAAACTTCATCCGTTGCCTTGGTCCAAAGACCTTGTAGATGCTGGTCAGTCGTAATGTACTGGGAGATAAGTGTTTTACTGGTGCAGACTGGTTTTCCCCTCCTGCTCCTCCCCTCCTGGCTCAATGGAGATGCGCAGCCTGTGCAGGGAGCCGGAGCCGTCGGCCAACGCGTGCTTCCGTGAGCTTTCAGCATCTCCTCTCCTCACAGTGGATGACGCCGTCATGGACAACGTCAGGCAGGTCTTCGGCTTCGAGAGCAACAAGAAGAACCTGGTTGATCCCTTCGTGGAAGTCAGCTTCGCAGGCAAGACGGTGAGTGGCCGGAACGGGGCAGCACTCCCCTGGACCCTGGGCTGGGACAGCAGCTGCACACAGGGAAAATTTGGTCCTGGAATGGGGAAAATTTGGTCCTGGAATGGGGAAAATTGGGTCCTTTGCTTTGCTGGAGTGTTTACAAAGGCCCCATCAGTCCTTGTCACACCGCGTCCTCTTCCCCAGTGTCCTGAAGCTGGGGGCTGAGGGCAGCTCGGGCGATGTCCCCATGCTTGTCCCCGTGTGTGTGGCACACTTGGAGCTGAGGGTTGCCACTGGACGCGGCGTGCTGGCCCACACCGCAGCAATTTCTTCGCTGGGCTCTTCGTGGTGCTGTTGCATTAAAAATGGGGCTGGAGAGGCTGAGCTCCCAGGGAAGAGGCACAGTGCAGCAGCGGAGGGTTGTGCTGCTCTTGACGCTGCCTGCAGCGAGCGGCCGGCTGTCCCCACGCCACCAAATATCCCCCCGTGACCGAGCCAGGGCGTGGAGGTGGCTCCGGTGGCTTTGCGGAGCCCCATCCCGCTCCTGTTGCTGCCGGGTCCCCTTTGCCGAGCGATGCACCTAGGAGCTGCTGCTTGTCTTTTGATCTGCAGAGACACGAAAGGGCTGAGTCTCCTCTGCCCATAAATCTTCCCCCGGGGACAGTGCACGTGGGGGCAGAGTCGGGGCATTTCTGAGCAACCACAGGGAGAAGGGGGGCGGGTGTTTCTGGTGGTCCTGGGGGGGTAAGATCCCCAAGCAGCCCACGGTATCCTCCGCCTCATGCACAGAGGGGTTTACCCACACGGTGCGGAGCCCCACGGGGTCACCCATCGAGCAGGGTCTGTATTTTGGGGATCCGAGGCCTCCCAGCGCGGTGGATGGGGCATGCAGCAGCCTTGCTTTGCTGAAGGCAAGGTGCGGCGCTGACTTTTCACCCCCCTCCCCATGTCCCACCTCCAGCTCTACTCCAGGATCCTGGAGAAGAACGCCAACCCGCAGTGGAACCAGTGCCTGACACTGCCGGCGATGGTGAGCACGGGGCCCCCCGCAGCTCCCCACCTGCCCAACCCCACCTCTGCTCACC